AATGAAATTCCCAGGTCAATTTCTTCAGTCTCGATTTTGTGAAGACAGTTGTGGATCATCTTGTGGAACCATAACTTATTGTCAGCATGATAATCATTCTTAAGTGTAAGTAGGTGATTTATAATCTTATCTTGTTTTTGTATTGTTTTTGCATTTAGTTGGATGGAGTCTTCATATGTATTTGTGTTGTAAGACATCTTGTTTCAGAGTGTTTGATGCGTAGGGTGTTTGTGTATTTGTTTATAAACTGTATGTCTATTTGTAAAGGTGTGTTCTATTGTTACTATGTTGTCAGATATTTACGCATGTTTCTGTTGTGTATTTGTCATGTAGCTTGCAAATGTCACATCGGCGTGTGGGTGTGTTGTGCTGCTGTATGCTGTGGTATTGATAATTGGTACATGTTTATTGGTTATTTCGACGTGCTGCTATGTAAGTGCTTGTTATATTGACAAGTTTGCTACGTATTTTGTTATTTATACTGTTTGACATGTGTCTGTGTGTTTGTAGTATTGTGGTAGTATAGTATTGATGTGTTAACGTGTATTTGTTTCTTGCTATTGTTTTGTTGTCACAGCTTTGGAGCATGTGTGAACGCATTTGGACGTGTCTGGTTGATATTGATGTACTGCTGCTATGTGTTCGTGTAACTGTTGATCTTTTGAAGGAGTTAAACTGTTTCTGGTTTTTCTTACTCCTAAGTGTTTGAGTCGCATAACAGTTGTTGTTTATATTGTTGTTTTGAATTGGATAGTGTTTTCTTTCCTTAGTCACAGTAAGAAAAAGTCTTGATATCCTTCTGGCCCTTGCTTTAATGACGAGGTTGCCTGGTTTACCAGGTGTAATCTGGCTGAGCAGGGTCCTTCTGGTGTCTAGGGAGGTATCTAACCTAGTGCACGACTAGCCAGTAGCTTATGAAGTGCGATGCTAACTTTCTCTCTTGATTTAACTATGAATTGTACTGTTTGTCTTTTCCTCTTTTTTGATGAGAAGTTCCAAGTGTGTTTCTGTTTGTGTGCTAAAAAAGAAAAGAGAAGAAGTTAGTTTGTAAAGTTTTAGTGTATACCTGTTCTGATGTCTTCTTCCTGCTTGGGAGGTGGCTGCAAAGTGTTTCTTTCCAAAGGATAGTTTTTCCCTGATGTTTTCTTTGGATATTTCCTTTGGTTTTTCTTGAGTTGCCAAAAAAGGAATTTTTTGGAATTTTTTGTGATTTGCGGAAAGAGTTTTTTTTTTTATATAAAAATTTTTAATATAATGGCTATAAACTCTTATTTAATAAATGTTTCACATTTAATGCCTATTTACAATTAATATATATTTATTTATTTAATAAATATTATTTTTTTAATTAATTTTGTTTTTATTTTATAAATTGATCAATTAAAATTATTATAAGTAATTTATTTATTTATTATAATTTAATAAGCTAATATTTTTTAAAAATTTTTGTTTTGATATAACAATAAATTTTAATAAATTTTAATAATATATTAATAAAAATCCATTAAATAAATTTGTTTTTTGTATTTTTATTAATTTAAATTTTTATTTATTTTATTAATTATTCATTGAATTGCAAATAAAAATATAAATTAAAAATTTGTTCAAAAACTTTTTAAACAAATTATATACAGTATATACAGTATATATTGAGTAAAAGAATAAAATATTTATAAATTTAAAATTATCAAACAAGAAAATTTTACAATTTTTTTAATAAAATATATAAATATAATCCATTATTTTTAAATTTCTAATCTGTAGATCGAGCAGATTGCAAATATGTAATTAATTTCTTGTTTGTATTTTATTGAATTAATTTTTAATATATATATATTAAAATCCTTAAGCGTAATTTTATTTTTGGTTAATTTAAATTAAAATTAAGTGATAATTTAATACAGTATTATTTTTAATAATATTTTTTAAAAAAAATACATCGGAATGATGAATTTATTGTAGCTGCGCATTGTGAAATGGGTTTTATATACGTAACACGTGATTTAATTTCAGCTTATTAATCATATGATCAATACATGCAATGGATAATTTAATAAGGCTCACTATGGATATAAAAGGCATGCATTTTTTTTTGTGGCAATGGAACGTAAATTCCGATAATTATGGTGTACCCTTCCTACCATCTTTTAATACCTGTCATTGTTATTAACAAAATGCATATACCTACGATCTGTATTACATTCAATTGCGTGGAGAATAAAAATTTTTTTGGTTTTCTAAAAATTGTGAAACACATCGAATAACATTTGATCTTAAAACTACTTTGTCTTTCAAGCAATTTCAAAAGCACTTTTCTTCCATCACCAGTAAATAGTATGAAAATTTTTTTTATTGCACGCGCCAAAAAAAGCAACAAAAAAACCTCTGGTTTATTTGTCATATTGCGTTATACATTATCTCAAATCTTAATTGAATGGATCATTACGTCCACGTGGCGGAATTATCTCCTCGGATGTCTTATTTAAACCTTCAGAACGAACGTTACTTTTTGCAGAATTGCCTTTGGTATTTTCCCTTATCGTTTTCATTCTCCTAGATCTTCATTCACCTCTTTAAATTAACATAAACCTGGTGATACGCTGCTTTAAAAAATGATTGTGATCAACGTTCAAGACCACTCGCACATGAATTCCTCAAGAAACAATGAATCTATTAAAATTTTGTTCAAAAGACCGCCCTTCCCGCCCAATATAGATCCGGTAGAAATAGCAAAAAAACGTTTTGTTAAAATGCGCGATCCCAAAAAGATCAATTCAAGAGGACCTAATTGCTTCATGATATACAGGTCGTATTGTACGTCGATCAATGGTGCATCACGTAGTCGAAGGAGAAATCGAATTCCGATGACCACGCTTTCCATGATGATTGCGGAATCATGGGATAGCGAGCCTCAGGTGGTCAAGAATTATTATAAAGAACTTTCTGCACTGACGGAGGTTGAGTTAATCAAACAAAGAAGGCGCAACGAAATTCAGTTCCTACCCTGTGAAGAAAAATGCAAAAATCCTCGAAGTCCTGATGATAATTCCCGTAAAATAAATCCGAAAGATTTTGATCCTCCAACAATGGAAGATCTTAAATTAAATGCGGAAAACAATGAAAGCAGACTTCTTGACTCGCACGAACATTTAGATTGGGCTCCTTTCACTTACGAGCCGTTAGAGATGTTCGCATGTTCCGACCATGGAATCTTAGAATGCCCATGCCAATATAGTGCATTTTAGATATACAAACGAAAGCGTTAGTCTAAGGTTTAATAAGAACAATTTTTAAGATTCTCGTCTATAAGAAACATATGCAATTAAGCTATAAAATAATCATATATGTAATAATGTTATGAAATTCCATTATTTATATGTTGTGTTTAATATTCCTTCGTTCCTGAATTCTGTATGTTTTAAGCTCTTAGGCTTCCATTCATTTTTTACATTATAATTAAATATACAACATTAAGGGTTCAAAAAAAATTTTTATGTGATAGAAATTTACAAGTAAAATCGTATGTTCATATATGAAATTCTTTCATAGTAAGACATAAGGCACAGTTATTACAATTTTCAAATAAAAATATTATCTTAAAAGATGTCACATTTGATATAAAGAAACATTAAGTGATTATTTTCTATTTTATAAAAATTCATTATATTATAAATTTATTAGTCATATTGTAACCAGAAAGTTGGAACGCGACTGTCGCCAAGCTGGGATACAAACCTGTCAAATACAGTTGGGCAAAAAAAATCGCCTAAATTTTCACATAAAAATTAATGTAACACATTCCAATATTATTTTAGTAACAAACATCACACAGTTTTAACATCTTAATACCATAGCTTTTTTTATTACTTTCTATATAGCAGTTTGTTTTGGCTTTTTAGCTAAGACATACTGGTGAAATGTCTGCCGCCAGAAAAAAAATCTCAGTAAAAAACTCTTTTATTCTACTGGAACAATGATATGCACAACATTAAAAAATTACATATTATAACAAAGATTTCTATTAGAACAATTAGTAATAACATAAAAAAATTTAAAAAAAAGAAAAATAATGCTTATGCCAAAGGCAATAATCAACCAAAAGGATTTATTGAATCTGTAGTATAAGCAATAGGTTAATATATTCATTATAATTCTTTTACAACATTTTTACAAGAACTTTAGCAATAAATCTAATAAAAAAGAAAGTGGAGATTTTATATAAAACAATTAAAAGATATTTAGCAAGTCTTGGATACTTAAATAGTTTTTTTAAAAAAGACTTCAATACTTATCAAGACTTATAAATAAGTATATATCAAATAGTAGCTCAAACATATAGAAACAATTAAAAAAAGATTATTTTTTTAGATAAAAAACTTTTTAACTCTTTTATAATATAGTAATATATTAATTCAAAAAATTAAAACTGATTTGTTCTATTTTCAAAAATTATCAAAAATTATAACTTGAACAGTTTTTTATTTAAAAAAAAAATCTAACTTATACTGTTTTTAAAAAATAACAAATATTAAGTTTTGTATTAAAATTATTTGCAAGTATATTTCAAAATAAGAAAAATAATTGTAATTTATAATAATAATAGCAAAATAACAGTTCAAGCTATTTTATAAAAAATGTCTTTAAAGAAATTATATTAAAGATTATTAGCTGGCTATTTAAAAATTTTAATTTAAATTCTATAAAAAATCTATAAGTTATAATTAAAAAAAATATAAAAATACGTATATAAAATAATTTGAATAATTTAAAAACATATCTCTTAAATTATTTTGCAAGCAAATTTACTTACAAAATTAAATAATATCAATATATATATTATATATATATATTTAAAAAACAAATAACTACCATATTTTATTTTGTTAATTATAAATTTAGACTTGTAAAACAAGATTACAGTTATTAATAATATAATATATATTTCTTTTTGTTAGGAAAAGTTAAATACAGACTTGTAAAACAGCTATACTTTTGTACTTCTTGATATTACTCAAGAAATATAATAAAAAGAAATTTAAAATCTATATTATATATAGTCTTGAATAATATCTAATTAATTAAAAAATATTTAAATGCCTAATTATATGAAAGTACTGAAACCATTTTATATAGATTTGCTTCCAAGTCATAAGTAAGACTAAGATATTTGCTTCTCAAATATGACTTGATATTCAATAAGTGAAGTAATACAGTAAACCTCTTTAAATATACATCTCTTGGAACTATACATGTGGTATAAATTATTTGTTGTTGACTTAATTCCCAAAATTCTTAAAAATAATTGCATTATAACTCAATTATTTACAGTATATATTTTAATAATGACTCAATTAATTGTATCAAATAATTGCATCAATTGCATCAAGAATCTACGAATTTTAGCAACATGTATACTTAGAACCATAAGAAAATTTTTGAAAAATATATATTTATAAAATATATACATTTATAGAAATAATTTTATTAAGAATTATATATAATTAGAATCAAGTTTAACTATCTATTTAAAGAAAGAAAATATAATAAATGCATTTATAGGTGTATTTAGAGAGGTTTTTTTGTATTAAAAATAGTTAAATTGTAATTATTTTTTTATATAAAGACATTACAGTTACTTTATACAAATTTGCCTTCAAGTTATGAAAAAAATTTGGCATACTTATTTTTCAAATGTAGCAAAAATATTTCATGGGTAAAGTTTTGTATTGGGATTTTTTAAAGGTATTAATATCCAATCTTATAAAATAGATCTATATTGTCAAAAAATGAGTATTGTTATTACTAGCTCATATTATGAAGATAATTAAAATTCTTGATCTTTATGTATTATTTTATTAAATTCTTCTATCATATTATTCTGAATATTATAAATCACAATTCCTTGAATAATTTTGAATAATAATAGTTATATACCAGTTTCTTAGATATATATAGTCATATTATTAACAAGTAAACAATACTGAATTAGATAATAATAATAATATCGATCTTTTAGAGAAGGTAAACTATTTGTTTTTTTTCTGAAAAATCATAAAAGAGAAAAATTTTCAAAACTTATGTCCTATAAAAAATTTGTCACTTATTATATGATTTCTGAAAAAAAAAAGTTTACTAATCAGAGAAAAGATGAAATGAAAAACAATATGTTAAAAAGAAAGAGAGGTTTAAAGAGAAAAAATCTTTAGGAAAAAAAAAATCTTACTTTGATAGGAAAAAAAAAGATGAGAAAAAGAATATATAAAAAAAATTTATAGAAAAAAGTAAAAGAATAAAGAAAAAGGGAAAGAAAAAGGTATAAAAAAGAAAAAGTAGAGAAAAGAAATAGAAGAACAAAAAAAATAAATAATTTAAAAATTTTTAAAAAAATTTTTTTCAAGCATAAAATAGGAAATGGAAAAGAGTTTTTTTAATATTAATATTTTTTAAATAAAATTATAATTTATTATTAATATAAAATTTATTTACTTATAAAAAATATTTTTTGATACTGTATAAAGATATATTACTATAAAAAAAAAAAACTCTTTTCCATACATAACATTTTTCTTAAAAATTTCCTTTTATAATAATTTTCTAAATTAGAGAAAATATTCTTTTCACTTCCCAATACCTACAAGTTCTCTATACCTTTTTAACTTTCAATATCAAAAATCTCAAAGAACTAAAGAAGTATACTAATACATAGAAATGAGACCTCTAGTCAGGAGTAAGCAAGCTTGAAGAACTTGTTTTTCTCTTGAATTATATGAGAAAAGGCTTATGGCAGTTGCTTTTTTACAAGTTTTCCTTAGGGGTTTTTCCATTTATATTTCTTATTAAAACACCTCTTATTAATACACAAACACTTTTAAATATTCATGTTCTTAACTTGAATAACTTTATTTTATTCCAAAACAAAAACTTTTCCATCAACTTTGTTTATATCACTGGCCTGGAGAATCATTGGTATATACAAAAAACAACTTTTACCATCACTCAATACATTTTATTGTGCTATAAAAAATCAAAAATTCTAGCTCAAAAACTTTTTTTACAAAAAACCACAATCAGTTTGCCCCTGGCAACTGATATACATCCTATCTTCAACCAATCACACATTATCAAATATTCAAATGCATTTATTATATCTGCTAAAGATCAATATAAACAACACCAAAAATGAAAATCTATTCAACTACATGACCTTATTCTATTAATAAACACCAAAACAACAAACACGTTCCATCAATCATCAATCAAAAAACAACAACACAGCTCTAACTTTGCAAATCAACAACCACCACACATAAACCTATTATATTCAAACAATTATTCAACCAATTAATTACTACTACTACACACTATCAGCCACCAAGAATGTATATTATTATCACAATTATATATTTTGGACAGTAGCTTGGCTAATCACAAACCGATTGGAATTACTAGAATGGTGCACCAAATAAGTATCCTTAATAATATAATTAGTATTACTACCATATATTCAAATAACTGTAATCTTGTTTTACAAGTCTAAATTTATAATTAACAAAATAAAA